ACTGGACAAGTGATTTGTTGTATAACTGGACACCTTTACATGACATTCCAGTGATAACTGGTGAATTCGAAACCCTGTTAACATATTACCTCCTTTACAATAGTTTGCAGGTCGTGGTATTAATTTCAGCGAAAGTGATCTACGTGGACAAGTTTCTCAATCATAATCGAAGGACATCCTTTTTGACGATTTTTGTACCAGATCCAGAAACATCTCATTGGTTATAACTCTGGGATATGAGCTACCAAAGAAAGATGTAAGAAAATGTCTACCAATGGATCCTGATTCGGTGGTTGAATGACTATATGCTTACTCCGATTTCGAGCCCTGGAGGAATTGTGCGTGTGCATGACTGAGGAGTTCCATAATGGACAAAACATCTCTCCAGTTTTCAGTCATTCTCCGACTTAACGAAGAATTCTATGTTGAGATTATCTACCCCGTTAATTTTAGTAGGAATACAGAATTTCGGAAATAATGATCCCAAAGTCAACAGGGTGACTTGTTTCGTATATAGACTGTTCCAAAATGGCTGTAGATTATTGCTAACTTACAATAAGATACGTCATAAACTTACAGCTGATGACCTCATCAAGCTTGGATTTGAATAGCGATGACCAATTATTACAATTCAAAGACCACTAAACTAAGGTCATCATCATCTCAAGCCACAAATCTCTCTTATCCTGAAATTCTGAGTTCAGTGGGATGTTGGGTGTTTGGAAATGAGACAACTTCTCTGGCCACAGAGCTTCTGCTCACAAACAGCTGTTTTTTCTACATGACTGTTTACATTGGAAAATCTTGCCAGTTTATTTCATGAATTTAATTCCCATGATGAAACATTCAGGATTGAATATCAAAGGTGAGAGGATATGAAACCAGTGTCACCCACTTCCTGGGTTAAAAGTCTCTTGTTATCTTAGTAATCAATAAATAGCAGCAAACATTCGCCCATATGTCTACTATCTCCAACATTTTATTTGCATTAACAAAATAAGATGGCCCAGAATTTTCTCGAAAATTTCTCCCTAACTTTTAATGACTACAGAGAGTTAATAGTAAGATTGAAAATAGCCCTTGCCATAAGAACAGTCACGTGTGCACTAAATAGAGTTCTCAGCTAATTTCGAAGACGATAAGGTCAAATACTGGCCTCGGAAATTTTGTACTGATACATATTTTTTGCATCTTCTCTTATCTATAATTTAGTATTGAGCACCAACAGCAAGGGGTATCACTCAAAACTGAAAAAGAACAAAACCAAATTTATAGCTAACCAATTAAGTGCTGGTCATGCATTCATGATATTCAGGTCATTCAATCCTAATCCAGTAGCTGAACGGTATACTGCTTGTCACAAGACCTAGCATTCTTAGCTACACTCTTTCATGTAGCTATGGTTGCACACTGCTAGGACGAAACAAATTTTTAAATGGTTATCTGGTTGCGGGAGATTAGTCATGTAATCTGTCTTAAAATTGAAGATTCTAAGTAAATGTCGGAAAAACGTTCATTGAGGGTAGACATAATTAGAAAGACTACTGAAAACCTTGACTAAATAATGACTGCAGAACCTTAGTTTGGTCGTTTTCATATCATCAGCTCTAGGTAGATAGAAGTGCCCAGATTCGTCTCAGGTTGACACCAAGTTCATCAACCATGAGTCATTAGAAAAAGATCTCACACTCATAATAATAGCCAAGAAGATGTGTAGTTCAGGATGTGGATGACGATGGTTCGTTGTTCTCTGAGCTATAGTGTTTTGTAGTGTGAGGCTGGAACCGAAGATCGATCAATAAAGTACCAAAGCTCAGAGAACGCCTCACCATCAATTCATGGTAAACTTATGCTAAAAGTCAGGGTTACACTTCAGAATATTTAAAGGAATACTCAGCAAATGAAATTGCTGTGAGACATGAAATAGCGATTACATGGTAGCGGAATGAATGATTGCTACTACTACTACTACTACTACTACTACTACTACTACTACTACTACTACTACTACTACTACTACTACTACTACTACTACCGTAGCCCAGTAGCTAGTGGAGTTAAGCCATGTCACTTGGTATGGAGTAACTAAAAACCGTCACAAATATATTTTTTCATAGCTTTTATCGGCTAAAAGATGTTCAGCAAGTTTAGCTCGTTATACATCCATTTGCACTATTGGCGATGGATGATTCGGTTTACCCGACCACCAGTAAGTATTTACTTAAACTAACTGAACATCTTTAAATATAATGATACTGAAGGCTTAGGATGTCTTAGTCACATAACATCTACTGGATCCCCTTTCGTGTCTGATTTTTATGATCTGCCTAATACCAGTATTAGCAAATATTCTGACTCGTGGCAGACAGCCATTCCAGCTGAATTCGGCAGTTGAGCAGTGTTCTGTCATATGCGTGATAGTGTTGATCTCTGGAGAATATTATCCCTATTGACTTTATCAGTACCTAGTCCATTTGTTGAGTTGATAAATATGACTATAAATTATAATTCTTGTAGTGAAACAAATGTACTTCATAAGTGAAATATAATTTGTAAAATCCCAATGAAGTAGCAAAATAATTTTCTGATGTTTGACGACTTCGTGGAAATCGCTTCTTCAGAGAATAAAACCTGTACAAGTTATCGATAGTTTAAATAGTAAAAGGTGACGAATCAGATCACATTGTCTATACATGATAATATGAACGTAAATGTTGTTACTGTTATTGCTTGTATTATACCGTTGTTAATTGGACCGAACTGATCAGTCTCTGTTGGCATATGGGCTCCTGTGAGGATGCCTTGATATTGCTTGTGTTTTAATTATGTATGTATAGTAATGATGCGTAGTGGCTAGCAGTGGAATCCATGATGCGTATTTCGTCCTATTTGGGACTCGTCAGCTGGATGTTATTGTTATGCTGGTCGGCAAGCGTTCACAGTTTGTCTTTGTTTATCTGTTAATTAGTCTGGAGGTCAAGATGATATGAATATGTCCACATATGACTGGGTGTGAAGGTGTAAGAAAAATAATAATAAATAGATAATATGTATGACAAATTCGGTTTGTTTGTGTGCATGTACTTTTGATCAGATCATTGTGTATTATGTACCGTTTTTGGAAATACTGTCCAGGTTGGTTGGATAGTTAGGCATTCCTTTCTGTTGAGTGCATTAGGATTCACTATAATGTGAAATGCCTCTGATATTCTTCTTTCTTTGTAGTTTGAATATATATATATATATATATAATTAGTGTTCGATAAAATTATAGGAGAGATTTCATTTTCTAGACATCGTCTGAAGTCAGTTACGATATACTCCAAAAGTGCCGTAAGTTTAAGTACGCTTACCGCCTAACGAACCTTGATAATTTTATTTTATTTGCCGGTGTGTGAAATTTTAGAATGTAGTTTGAGATCAATAACTTTTTTTAGTTGTGATCGTAGTTGTTAATTTCTTTCTTACCCTCTGAATATCTGATCCGAGAAATCGGGAAAAATGTATGTCAGTAGCTGGCATCATTTACTCTACTACTATCCTGTGACTGCATTTATGTTGGGTCAAATGCCCGGTAATCCTGATGACGAATTCGTCTTCAAATAGTTGTGTGTAGCGCTGTACAATAAAAAAGACAAGTGAGTGCATTGTTGTGATGTAGACTTGACTTTTGATAAGCTAGTGGAAACTTGTCAATCTGAGGTCGATGAATTGCAACGTAAAGAAAGTGTGTTAGAAGTTATATGTTTCAACGGCTGATTGCTCCTGACCATTAAACACACCCATACAATGGTTTTCATTCAACTATTCCGCGTTGCCTTCGTTTTCAACTCTTAAAACAGCAGAGACCTTGGTTATTTATCAAATGAAACTTGACCTTTGTGCTCAAATGATGTATATACCATATCTGTCTCATATTGAGTTGTTGCTTCAACTTTCTCAATCTTCGTAGCACTTTTTATCGTAAATTTCAATACTATCTTTACGTTCAATAGTTTCCAGAGCCACTTCAAATCATCTTTCCAAAAGCTTCAACTTTAACCAAAAACACTCACTTATTTTATCACAGTTAACCTGTCTCATTCATTTAACCTAGTCATTTGTTTGTTTTTTCGCTTCACCATCTCTTAACCACCTTTGTAAGCTATATATACCCTAACAATGATCTAACTCCTTTTTGTGATCATTTAACACTGACATCTTCAAGTAGTGACATCATAAGGACTACAGCCATCATTTTTGACGCGTTTATCATCCATTATTTAAAATCTAAATTGTCTCGCACACTGCAGTCTTCAAATGTAGTAAGTCTACGAAGGTACAGCTTGAGAATAAATCCAATGAAAGGAGTATCTTCTTTTAAAACGCCCTGCTTTTGATTTCAGGACGCAAATTATGAAACTTGAAATAAACTTGATCTATCACGTCCATTATATTTGAGGCCGTTAAAACAATAAGTCATCCCCACGTGAAATACCTAGTCTTGGAGATTGTTGTGACTCAGTTTCTCACCGTATGAATGTTATTGAACTCTCTCTATAGGAAAGGAACTACGCGGTCAGGGATCGAATAGATAAATTGCATAAGGTTGAGCATTCTATGTGGAAAACATTTCAGCAAGCTGTTTTGTTAAGAAAGAGTGCCTTTCACCCACACATATAAACATATATGTGTTAAAAGCGAAATCAATCTATGTATATGTATTTTCCGCAAAAACTATTTGTCCAAATAAGTTTTTATCTCACATATACTCTACATTTGCATATGTAATTCTATTCATCTACAATTTATGTATCTATATGTCTGGAGGTAGACAGAACACATCGCTACGATATTCATCTTATTTAACCTGAATGTTTGATTGCCTGTTGTGCTGTCCATTTGTCTGTCAATACCCCATCATTCAACAATGGAGCCCTATGTATTCATATTTGTCATGCTTTCTTTCTTTTATTCTATCTGCGCGCACATATGTTTGTGTTTTCTTCACTCACACATAGAGTTGGATCACAATTCACGCTTAGATGCAAGACATCGAATATGCGAAGAGTATTTACAATGTTTAGAAAAGAGATATTCAGTAAAATGAACGGTTCTGATACATGCAATACAACTGCCGGTGATGATGTCAGCGGATATGATCTGATACCACAAAGTTTATTCATGTCAAAAAATCCCGACGGTTTACGCCCAATGTTGACAACAGTTCAAACAGATTCGTCGTCTGTTTATCGTTCAGTTGATCAGAATAAGGCGAGACAGAATACAACAGAGGAGAAAATCAATGCTAGAAAGTGTGAGTAAATTTTTCCATGCTGTTACTAATTTATCCTTCAGAATTTGATGAGAATCCATTTTGTACTGTCGTACAACTCGTTTTATATGCAAACTGGAAATCATAGTCCTCTAGGTTGAAGTTATTTATGACTCAGAATTAATCTCTGAGGTCTTTGGCTGTATTAGAATACGCGAAGTAGTTATACAATCCTCTTAAACATGGAATAGGATCTTTTTCCCCATTCATACTATAACATAATGGTCTTAAACTTCGTCTCAAACAGTACTAAACAATGGACAAATAAAGTGCAGGAATATATACATATAAAAAAATAACCAATGAAAGTAAATTTGCCTATTGTGGATAAAGTTTAAAAAGAATTAAGAATTTCAATAAGTGTTGTTGAGATCCATCGAAATCGACTGAAATGTTTATTCTCTTTCCTCTTACTGTTTAAACAGAAATTTAATTGAAACACGGATATCTTATGTGGCAAGTACTATTCAATTTAAGGGCGAAATGTTAGAGTTATAATTAAATTTCATGTCGGCGAATGAGCAGTAAATATGTTCGACTATCTGCAGATTTCAAGTAAAATGATAAAAAGATTTCCTACAATTTTTATTTTGCGAAAGTTAAATTAGACTTTGAAGGATAATTGGTAACACGATGCAGAACTGGCTTGAAGAAGCACTACAAATTGAAAAGCACTTATCAGCTTTCCTACCCTATCCGTCGAAGCTGTTAGTTAACTTTCCCGTTGAATTTACGAATGCCTACGGTCGGATATTCAAGTCTTTTTAGGAAACATTTCGTTGACTGACTGAAGTTCTTGGTAGTTCTTGTTAATGTGCTTATAACCCATTGAACATGAAATGTTGATGTTCAGCTCTGAACTCTCACGTTTATATAAGCATGGTGACTGCAATTGAACTGTAAACTTTGTTAATTAGATGCAATAAAAGATTTTCATTATGTATTTTCCGGCTATTTCAGCCTCAGAAGCATGAAAACTGATGAAAATCTCAACTTCTAAGTAAAACTCTGAGACACTAGGTGGCTGACAAAAATAATGAGTATTTACCTTTTGGCTTGACAATGTACATTAAGGCGCGCAAGACCGGAGTCTCTCCAGCTTTGGCACTTCTTAAAACACACTCCGAGTTCATTCTAACTACTTCTAGAACACTTCAGTTGATGACCGATATTCTTACTTTATACAAATAAGTTAAGTGCAGACAAGATACTTACTATCGATAATGTATTTTAGCGTTAGTCTCGGTTACATAATCTTGCGAAGTTTAGTATTCAATTAAGTCTGCTGATTTCGGTGTTACTCTCATGCGTTGGAAATAACGGTTTCACAACTTATCATTTTGGGTGAAACATTAGGCTCTGTTGTGAATTTAAATAGATGAAAATCAAGATTACTGGAGTTATCCAATCTTTGGTACTGCTAAGTTTTGATAAATAATATGTATGTTTAACTACTTAACCGAATTATGGTGTATAAAACACCAATTTTCAAACTATCCTTCCTTCCTTGACTAGTATTCATCCGTGGTTTACTCATCTCCAAACACTCTTTCAAAGTTTTGTCTACATTCGAGGCACTGAAGTCTGTCTCCCCAGCTACAGAACCTGTTTGCTTTGCTGAATTTGAAGTGCACTTCACAAGAGTTACTTTGATTGTTTTTAGCAATAATCATCGCTGTCTGTAACAAGAAGTTTTGAATGAAAAGTCAGGGTGATAAATAGTGGACTTATCTGTTTTGTCACTCAAGCAAACGTTTGATGTAGTAAGCCTGATTGACATCCCACCACCAACCTGCTAGGACTGTCTACTTGTTAACCGGAGATGACTTAGTTTGATTCCGTGTTCAGTCGTAATTCACAGTTGATTTGTAGAGACAGGATAAAAGCTAAGTACTGGATTTTCGTTGGGTAAATTTATAGGCTTACTTGTGGTAGGTTATGATGTGAATGTTTGGCACTACTCTTGATAAACAAGTATCGAGCATTTTACTTGAATGACACAGAATATCACTACCCCATGAAGACGAATATCTTCGGAACTCATTGCAACGACCAATGAACTAACACAATACATACTAAATAATGGAACACTAAATGTAACTATTAGGTATTCTTCATATAAGCAATTATAAGGTGACAGCACCTGTTAACCGGTTACTTATTTCCCATAGCCATGACACTTTTTGTCAATTTAAATAGTAATAACAATCTGCTGTTACATTTGATGTTTAAATCCAAGCAGCTGAAAAGCCTGAACAAAGGTTTCACATATTTTACCGCTCGTCAGGAAAGCAAATATCAAAAGTGGATGAAGATAAAGCTGACTTGGAAGTTTAGATGTGACATCATTTGCCACTAAACTATTCAGAATGGATTATCTACAAGTACCCGTCATAGGATGATAATAAGTATGCCACTCAAATCTTAAATGCTGATCAACATCTACTGACCACGTACTGAATCATGCAGGATCTTGCCATGGTCTAACTACAGTAGGAAACAGCATTTCTACTGCGGTGAATGCGTGTTATTCGCAAAAAGTTCAATGCAAGCGTTTGAATCAGAGACTGATTCGTGTGGATGAATGATTTTCCAAATATAAGCTGATGTTAGTCAAACTAAGCCTTCTCCCTTGATAGACTATTACTGACCTTATATGTATATTTATTCAATTTTTTTAAAAACATTTGAAGGTTTACAAGTGACCGGTAAATTTGCCTAAATTTGTTGATGATATCTGGGAGGGAATTTCGTTTACTCTATTTCAGTTCTACAAGAGTACATTATTCAAGGTTTAGTCATTATATGAACTGGGCGATAACTAGAACATGAAATGGGCAGGAAAATATTATGAAAACAATGACAAAGCAATCTGAATCCTTATATAATTTTGGTTACAAATTTATTGTTTTTTTTCGACCAAAATGTTTATTTTGAACACTACCTGAGTACCTTTGGTAACACCCAAAACGATAACTATGACTACCAATTATTCTGGTCATCAAAACAAGGAAATATTACAGTTTAGGGGAACTACCTTTGAAATTTAATATAGACGTAATCCTATCTTAGGAAACAAATCGTTTCTTTGACTGTTCAGAATATGAAAATCAACAGATATGCAACATCACGCTTATGCTTGAAAGCGTCAACTTTGTAGAGAGACAAGGTAGATCGAATTTCGAAGATTAGTCCGTGTCGAGTTCAGTATTGATCAGGCTTCTGATAAATATCAAACAGATGACCAGTAGGATTATAAGGTTGCTTACTGCCGAGTGGTAGTAGTTCGGGTGTTTGGGTGTGTTCATCCTTGAGTAAAGGAAACTGAAGTTTTATGTAAAGGAGTAAAACCTGAATTTCTTATAAAGTGTAAGATAAAGACTTACTAGGGGATGGCACTTGAATCGATGAGTCGGATTTTCTTTGATGTGTGTTCTGGCAGCTGGTTGGGATTCGAACCCACGTCAACCAGTGTTGCAGTCAGAGACGTTACCACTGAGCTGTTTGAGCTGCAATTGACATTTTGTAGAAATACATAAGACACACTGATTGGTTACTGGAGAGTAATTAATTTCATTATGTTTAATCCTGAGTACCGACCGAATTCTATCAATCATTTTGTAATGTAACATCGCAAAGCACTTTGATTTATGTTACGTGATCGGAGGTAATCGACAGGAAGCCCCGAACTCAGCAATATTTCACCTTCAAATCCGGTTTTAACTTTCTACCCACTATGTTGAGTATTTCGCTCATACGATTTATGAACTGCTTCATATTCTGTGACAATATTCATAAATGTAATATATATATATATATATATATATATATATATATATATATATATATGCTGAGTGTTGATTGAAGGTAAAATGAGATTCTTGGTCGAGACAGGATTTGAATCAACGACCTATGGATTACCGGCGCACCGTTCTACCAAGTGAACTATGAGACCCAGCTGCTACAATTAAGATCTCAATAGCAGCTGGGTCTCATAATTCAGTTGGTAGACCGGTGCGCCGGTAATCCATAGGTCGTTGATTCAAATCCTGTCTCGACCAAGAATCTCATTTTACCTTCCGTCAACACCCAGTATCAATAGTGTGAGTCTGATAACCTGCAGATGTCTCAAATTGTCTGACTGATTTATATGTATATATGCATATATACATGTCAAGTGTGGTATTCAATGACTAATTCTTCGTGATTATGCACACACTTAAATCAGAAAGACGGATAACAAAATTACATTTTTAACGGATATAATATGCTTAAAATAATGAAAAAGGCGGTATAATAGATACATGTGGTAAGAACAAACTGCTTGCCATTACCATTCCGTAGAAAGGAGAGGAGAGAAATTTCACACTGACTGCTGTTGTAAAAAGATGTCTTAGTGTTTATTTCGCTTCAAACACATTTGCACTGTCTTCCATGTGAATTATTTCATTGCCAGGTTTTCATAAATTAAGAATATTTGTGCCTGCGGTAATTAAAATAATACCACAACTTGCCTTCTAATCCAACCGAGCTGATAAAAGGAGTGAACGTCAACAATTAATGTGCAAAGGGAATCCTTTAAAATTCTATAGACCAGTTTACCTTTGAATTTGAGAAGTACCATAATGACAATTTTAATGCTTTTAATGACCCCTAATCCGATATCAACCTGCTTAAAAAGATATCGCCTACTGAGGTGCAAGTACATCCAGCTTACGAGTCCCAAATAGGAAGAAACACGCTTCCTGGTTTTCTCTGCTGGTCATTAACATGAATATAAGGCTCTTGTGTATCCAGTGATTTATTGAATCAAAGAACTCCAAGTTAACCCCTACTGTGTATTCATAAAACCCGGTTTCTTTCCAGGTCTAGTGTGAGCTAAATAGAATATCAAGCTTTAGATTTACACTTAACCTCTGGAATGATTGAAATCTAAGGAAGCTAACCCATTTTCATCAGCATAATTGATCTTTCTGGTTCCC